AGAACATTCTGTTTCTCCTCCATATTTCTAGCCTGCTTTTAATCTCTGAAATTCCTGGCATAGAATAAGTAAAAATCACATGTCCCACAAAAACTGTTCAATTCAGTGAGAAGAAACTAAATATGTTTGGATTTAAAAAATTAACCTCCATGAACTCCTGGCAACCATATGGATATATCTGTGTTTTTTTCTTATGAATAATATATAGAAATTGTTTGCCATTGAGTTTATGACTCAATCCAGCCTAAAATCTTGAGTTTTTCAGGTAGGATCTCATTCAAGTACCACTAGGTCAAATCCTATTTAATTTTATTGAAATCAGTCAAGGTTAGATAGATGCTGCCACCTGCTGTGGGCTACTCAACTGTTAAAGTGTTTCCAGTTCTCAGGTCTTCAAAAATTTCATTCACACTTAGGAGTTTAGAAGAGAAAACCAAATGGTTTTCTTAATTGTGGCTAGGTTGATGGAACAAAAGGAGATAAGTAGCATCAAATTCAATAAAGAATTTTGGACATGTCAGTGAATAATAAACTGTACAAGCTCTCTGCTAGCCTAAATAAATGTATGACTTTACAAATATATATATGAATGAATGAATGAATGAATGAATGAATGAATACCACATTTGAAGAGACAGAATGAGGATGGGTATACTTACTCCAGACTGTTTTTCTTCCTTCATAAGTAGAAAGAAATGTTTCTCAGTGTGGCAAACTTCTGTCCAGAGAAGCTCTGTAAGATATTTAAAATATTATATATACTGTAGATTTGCAAATCATCAGGGGATAAATAAATCTTTGACAGTGGTAGCAGCTAGTTTCCAATCAGCAGGCTTACCCACTGAGACAAACAACATTTGATCCATAGTGCCCCAGTTCAATCCCTACAGTAATTAAGAGAAGGTTGGCTGAAAATTATTGCAAACAGTTGGGTGAGAGTGGCTTCTGGCATCTTGTATAACTCTCTGCCCTTTTTCACAACTAGCGGAAGGATAATAAATTGTATAAACTTGCTAACTTTGCAGAACTGACTTCAGGAGTTGCAAACTGGGATATAGTTGCCTTCAGCATAGAATTATGCTGCTTGTTGGCTTACTGCAAGGTTTAGTCTTAGGCTTAAATAACTTTCCAATTGTGATTAGTCTAATATGTTCAGTTTAGGTCATTTGAGTTGGCTGATTGTGTGCTACAACACTGCAATTAACCTGCATTGAAGGCTGACTGTTCTCTTGAGTTCTGCAGCTGCTGTTCTTCCTGAGGGTGGTTTGGTAATGATGTTTCAGCACACTCTGTGAAAAACTGGAACCCTTGTGTGTGAGCTGACTTCAAGAACAATGAAGGACTTTATGCCTGTATGAACTCCCCTTGAGTAAAGGCTAGAATGTAAAATGCAGGCACCTTGGTGTAGTCCCAGAGATCCTCTGACTCAGTAAATCTGACTCATAACTTCTTTCCCTTTCCCTTCTCTCATCCTACAGATTATGCTTTTATTCCCAGCTTCTAACAATATTGTCATTTTTTTTAACTTTTTTGTTATTTTCACTTAATAGTTGTACAGGCATATCATACAAACTCCTTCCTTACCACCATCTAAAAAAACATCTAGAGCTGAACTAAAAGAGGAGTCCAGATGTCTTTAATATCTTCAAGACCTACATTAGATAGAGCTTACTGTCCCTCGTATTGAAGCTACAGGGAGTGGAAAAATTGTACCTACACAAGGCAACCATGAAAAGAACAGAAGTATTCATTAATAGTCAGTCCCAACATAAATCTTGCTCAGCATAATCTTGGCCCCACGTGTGAAGTATGTCTACTGCTTCCCTTCTTCTACTGCTTCCCTTCTTCCTTCTCGTCTCTTGCTCCCACATCTTCAGGGAAATTATTTTATCTATTCTTTGAAGCAGTTCATCTTTTCAGGTAGCAAATGGAGAATTTTTAACGTAGGTCTGAATGCTCTTTGACAACAGAATATTTCCATACACTCGGAATCCTCATTGATACCCAGGTTGTATTTTCTTTTAAGACAATATCAGCTCTCATCTGTGATCTGAGGTGATAACAATCCAGGGACAAGTTTACTTCTTTCTGGAATGGCCCAGACTGAAGCAAGTTTCTCTCCTGGGAATAAAAAGGCGCTTTTTTGGAGAAGGAGGCCTGGTTGTTATAGTTTAGAATTGCAAATGAACAAATACTAACTCTATGTATTTACAAATCCATTCTGGTCAGATTCCTTCTCAGAGGTTGAGGTTCTTCTTTAACCAGATAGGTTTAGTGCATTGTTTTTCAACATACCACTATTTATTTCACATTATTTGAATATTCAGCAGTTTTCAGTATGGGGGCAGTTTGCACACTGCTATGCATGCAATTGATTGAGAAGTTGCTTAGTGGATTGCGCCTGTCACCAGCATTAAAAAGCAAACTAAACATAATGCTAAAAAGTTGGATGGTGGGGAAATTATGTTGCGCATAATTAAGTCTTCTTTTGCAGAGTCCTTGGTGCTCTCTGAGCTTGGTTGCTTGCTTGCAGATGTTTCATTACCTCACTAGGTACCATCAGTGCTAGTGAGTGTGGGTTTTTCTCCCTGTTTGTATACATTAGCTTGACCTGCCACTGCTGGTGGGGATATAGTTTTCTTGGTAGTTCCTTGACTGGAGTATTGCTTTCTGCTTGATTGTTTGTCTCATTTTAATTCTTGCTTATCTAAATGTAGTCTGCTGGTGAGGATGTCTTTTTGTTTCCTTCTTAGCTTTTGCATTGTCTCTTGTCCCCATAGCACTGATGATGTGACCTAGTTGTATAATGAGACATCTGCAAGCAAATAACCCAAGTTCAGAGAGCACCAAGGACTCCACAGTTCATCCTTGAGCTACATATAATTCTTTTCTATTTAAAATATATTTTCTTCCAATATTACCCTTATGAACTTTTCCCATAATTGCAGTTATGAATTCTGGAGTGGAAGCCATAAACAGGGCTAACAGTTACATGGGGAAAGGTTATTTTGAATGGTACTACAACTTTCTGCTCCAGCATAACTATTTTATAATGTTTAGCTCTAATAATTTTATTTTTTTTAAAAAGAAAAACACAATGGCACTTTAAATGGTGCATTTAGCATTCAAGCATCCTATGCATGTTTAATCAGGAATACGTTCTGTGAATAAATTATGTAAATGTAAATAAATATATTTTGATAGTATCAGTGTGACTTTATGAGAAAAACTGAATTTTAGAGTAAAGCATTTTTAAATAAAGTCGTTGATTTAGTTTTAGAATGTTGCTAGAAAACATCCACCTCTTCAGTAAGATTGCTAGTTTACGTTAAAGCAGAATCTTGGTCTTTGCTAAGTTATTTGGCCTAATATTATGGTAGATATCTTTGTTCTATGTATCCTTGTCAAATGCCATAAATGCTTTGTGGTCTTCATTGTTCACAGCAAAACAAAAAATATAGTGTTCAAATAATTTTTGCTGTTTCAGTTCCTGCATCTTATTGCTTTGATTTAATTTAAATTATTGTCTATAGAATATTATCACTCATACCTCAGTATGTAGTAATGATACTCTGAAATAATTCTCTTTTGGTTGGTGGTTGAGAATAATACTTAACATTATCAACATAGGTTGTTTGATTATTTTGCCTTAGTTCAAATTACTTTGTAGTCACCGGACCATAGTAGTGTTTTTTTCTATTTGATATGCAAAACATTTGAAAGAAATCACTAAATTATAGCCATCACCAAGAAAAACCATAGAATTAATGCCATAACAGAAATGTGATTATGAAATTAAAAGCATCAAATTTTGTTAGCAGTGTTGGTAGAACTAATTATGGAATAAGCAAACCCCCCCCCCCCCCAAACTCCCATTCAGTATCAAGGATGTGAAGGTGTGTTTCATGTACCAGTGAAAGATTTGTGTAATTTTTACAATGCCTGTAATATGCTGACAAAGTAGAGAGGAAGGAAAGGAACTCATATAAGGTCTTCTGAGTTGCAAGGAAAGTTTGGAGGAACTAGGAAAGTTTTAGTTTAAGGAAGAAGCTAACGTTTGTGGGAACATCATAACAAATTTTAACTTTGTTAATGGCTGCTTGGGGCAGGATGCTTATCATTTTTCCCCCCTCCTCTGTGCCAACTACGACAGATTGAGATATGGCATGGGTCTCACACTGGGAAAGATTGTGTGGCCAACAACTGTTTGTCTTTAGATAGTAGAAGCATCTCCGCCTGGAAACATTTTCAATACTGTGCAGAAATAACAAACATTGAAAGTCTTCTAGTTTTATTAAACCTAGGTAATATAATAGAATTGCTTAGAGTGAGAAATTAATAGCATTAAAATCCTAAAAACAAAATTAGTGTTGTGCTTTCTGAAATCATCTGCATGTATATAGACATCCCTGGGACATACACTCAGTTTTGCAGCTGAATTTAAGTTCTACATTAGTGAATTTTAATGTGGTATGTTAGTTTAGAAATTCAAAGAGTTGCTTTTTGCATGACTGACTGGAGTCAGATTATGGACATCTCTACAATAAATTCATGAGCTGGTCCTAGGAAAAAAAGCAATTTGTTCAACTTTATATTTCCATGTGCAACATACAATAATAAACTGGAACACCACTTGAACACCATCAGCATTGACAAATTCACCATCAATCAATTGCAAAAGGCAGCTTTATTCAGAATAGCTTACATCCTGTAACAATACCTCTAACGCCATCAAACATCAATATGTGCCTATCCCAGGTCCTTAGGCTGGACTCAGTAAGTGGATTAAAATGCCAAATCCATTCAGAATATCTAGCTGACTGTGCAATGAACCATAATAATAATAATCACCATATATCTTTAAGAAGGGTTGTGCAGCATGTGCAAAAAATACTTTGAACACTATAATATAAAAAGGAGTGCATTCATAATGACTTTATCTACATCTGTCTTCCATACATTCTGGTACAGTTTCATGCATGACTTATTTTTTTTTTCAGATGGACAGCAGGTTTGGGAGATGGAAGCCACAGTGGACAAAGACAAGAGCCAATCTGTAAGTTCACTCTATTGTTAGCCACAGAAATACAATCTTCTGCTTTGTGTGGAAAAGAATAGTAATAGAAAAATCATGTTCTCCTTAACATTGGCCAAAGTGAACAAGATTCCATTCTTGTTCTCATGTCTTGTGGATAGGATTCTCATAAATAAGAGAAATATTAAAACTAATATTTTAAACAATATTAAAACTAATTTCTCTAAGGTTGAAACTTCAGATACTGTATATTTAGCTCAACTGTTTAAGGAGGGGTGCTTATACAGGTAACATACATACAACTATTCATTTAATGACTATTCAAAGTTATGACAATGCTGAAAAAAGTGACTTATAATTGGTCCTTGCACTTATGACTGTCACATTGGTCATGTGATCCAAATTTAGGGGCATGGAAACTTACGGTACATGTTTTTATTATGATTGCAATGTCCATGGGGGTCACATGATCACCATTTGCAACCTTTCCAGGGGCTTGTGACAAGCAAAGACAATAGAGGAAGCCAGATTTGCTTAACAGCTGGTCCCAGTTATAGTCATAAATCAGACAATCTGTATTTACAAGATTATATCCCAGTGATCTCTTGCTGATTGCAGAAATTAGGCCTACCATATTTGAGCTGCAAAATCTAGACAACCACTAAATAGCAGAAAACAGATGCAGAAAACTCATTTCCTGCCATCTGTTGATCATCTGTATTTTTGCAGATTAGATGGGTATGTCTATTAATATTGAATTACTGGCATTATTATACTGTATTGTCCCCACAGTTATTTATTATTGTTGTTGTTTTCAGAACATGCTGTTTGTAGAGATTCCAGAATATCGGAACAAGCACATTCGTGCCCCTGTCAAGGTGAATTTCTATGTTATCAATGGGAAACGGAAAAAAAGTCAGCCACAGCATTTTACCTACCATCCAGGTAATTTTTTTTTATGAAAAGGGACTTGTAGCACAAACATTTTGTGGGAACACAGAGCTATTGGCTATGGCAACCAAATAGCAGTGCAATATACCCAAGGGCAATATAGAACTTGGATGGGAAATCACAGGGAAAGCCATGTTGTAGAGCAGAAAAAAAATGAGAATTCTCTTGAAAGATGACAGGATAGGAGCGAACCACTTCCATTCTGAAAATTGAATAGATGTGGCTATGAAGCATCAGGAGTTGAGTTCAACTCAAAGAGGACTTTACCTTCAAAACTAGGTGGAACCTTTTTAGATTAGGTTAAGTTGGATATTAAGAGAAGAACTTGGGATTTGTGTTCAGAAACACTCTCTTGAGGATTGTGTGTAAGATTCCATTTTGAGGAGCAATTGGTGCAATCATTTCCCTCTAGTTGATTGTTAGTTTTCTATCTTACTTTCCCTCAAAGCAGCTTTATAGAGCATCCCACCTCCTTATTTATGCATGCCATTTCTATGGCCATCAAATTAGCAGATTGCCACTCTGGGCAGTTAACAGAATTAAAAACACAAAACACAATAACCAGTGAACATAATCTTCTTGGCCAGAGCTACCAGCTGCCCTTCAAGTAGGAGCCACAAGTTCCAGATGCACACCTGCTATATTTGAGGGTGCCAAGCCCATCCAGAATTTAAAAAATACTATCTCCATATCTAGAGTCCCTAAAAACCACAGGTGCTAGATTTTCTTGAGTTGAGCCCAAGAAACTACTTCTTCCCTATCCAGATAGCCACGGCCTTCAGATGCTGGGGAAAAAAACTTGACTTAATTGGCCTAGCATAGATATTACTGATACATTGGTAATTTTTCTGGTAGTCATTGGTTAGTTGCTTACATGCACAGAGAGATCATTCAATTCCATAACGTTGACATATTGTATCACTTGATGCTGACTTTACTAGATAGAACAATATAAGCAATATGTCTATGGAGAGTCTTAGTCATCCAGATCATAGTTATCCCAAAGGTACTTTTTCATGAGACAACTGGACTTTCTTGTTTTTCTCTGAAGACGTTTCACTTTTCATCCAAGACGTTTCTTCAGCTCTGACTGGATGGATGGTGGGGAATGGAAGGATTTGGATGAGAAGCAAAATGTCTTTAAAAAAAAAACAAGAAAGTCCAGTTGTCTTGTGAAAAGCACCTTTGGGATATAAGCAATATTTTATGTTGCTTGGCTTGGTGGAATTAAGTACCCATGTTCAGCAGGTAGTCATTATGTGCATAATGTGGGTGATCTATATGCCTATGAATATTAGCTGATTACCCCTTATAGCTGAACACATAAACTGAGTCCATCAAAAAGTATTTGAGAACAAGGCAATAGAAGGTGATATGGAAGTTCAAATTGTGGATGTACACTGTAAGTCTACAGTGCTCTGTTGCTTGAATCTGCCAGTAGATATGTGAGTAATATCTGAAAACTGAACAAGCTGAAAACTGGTAGTGGGGAATTACAGTGTCAGAGTCATTCATCTCTTTGACTGTCTATTAGCAGTTCTTTTAAAACTGATATCCTTTATGTATTTTGTTCCAGTGCCTTCCATCAAAACAGAGCCCATTGATGACTATGATCCAAGTTTAATCTGCAATACAGTACACAGTGGTCTGAGAACAGTAACACAGCCTTATTATTCACATCATACAATGGTCTCAGAGTCTCCTTCCTGTCTTGTGGCTACAATGGCTTCTTGCCAGCAGTTGCATTCAAATCTCTCTTCTCCCGAATCCCAGTATCCTTCACAAAACCCAGGAGCTATAATATATCAAAGAAGCAAGAGTCTCAGTCCAAGCCACCTGGGCTACCAGCAGTCCAACTTGATGGGGGCCCAGGTTTCCATCCCAGATATTCATAGGTCAGTGCTTGTGCACACAGGATCCCCCAGCCAAAGTTCAGCAATGCTCCATCATTCTCCAGTCAATCAGCCATCTTCTCCAGTGATTCATTGCTCTCCCACAACCAATCATCAAATGAGATGTGAAAGCCATCAAGAGTTTCAGCATATAATGTGTAGTGAAAATTTCACACCCAGTGGAGTGAGGCCCCATCAGCCTCAAGTCAACCAAGCACAAAGGTTAAGCCCAAATTCTTATCCTACTGTGATTCAGCAGCAGAGAACGGCCAAAAATGGACCACCAGTAAATGATCAGAAGGAAGTGGTATCAGCTGGAGTCACTGTAAAACAGGAACAGAATCTTGACCAAGCTTATTTGGATGATGGTAAGCAATATCTGCTTTAAAATGTTATTTTCTCTCCAGATCGGCCTTTGAAAGACATCAGTTTGGCTTCCTCTTTCTTAGGGTACAAATCTGTAGTTTGGAGAATACAAGTCGCTGCATTTGCACAAAATGATAACCTAGAGTTCTAGAGTATCTTGGCATATTATTCATATATGCAGCTCTGCTGGTCCATATTCCCTAATTCTCCAGATTGGTTTCTTCTGCCAGTAAAAAAAAAGAACTTCAATACCTGTTAAAATAATTAATATGAAAAAGTATAATATTATGATGGAATTTAGCTGCACCAAACAAGGCAGGAGTCATACATAATTTCACATCTTGATTTCAAATTCTGATTCTCATTTAGAGTATCTCAAACCAGGCATAAATTCACATAATTTATTTCGGGACAAAATCTTTCTTTGTATTTTGAAAGCTGGGATTTTGGTTTAAAACTATTTTAAAAGTCTGCTCTTTTTAAAATTCTCTAAACATGTTTGCCTTTGGATCAAATTCCTTGACTTAATAATAGTACAAAGTATTTTTATCTGTTTTTAACGGAAAGCACAGCTTTACTGTTTAGCTGCAGTAGCCATTTATGCAATTGTCCAAGCACATTTAAAATACATCAGGATATAACCTGTGCCACAAATTAATCTTAATACCACCCAAACCATTATCTTAAAAGTATTTTGTATTTGATTTATTATATTATTTGTATTAGATATATTGTCATGTTTTCTATGTCTATTGTTTTTACCCCTCCTTTGGGGTGTTTTAATTAAATAAAATATATTTTATATTTTTAGCTTTTTATATAATTTAATTTTTGGGAGGGGTTTTTTTGTACCCCATTCTCCTTATGTTGGTCTTTGACTGTGATAACAGTTGATTTGATTGCCCAAGCAAATGAATAAATTGGAAGGATAAAATAGGATACTAATGTCAGGCTTTTAAAAACAATAGACCATAAGTATGGATTCTGTTTTTATAAAATTCTTTTGAAACATGCTGAACGACAAAAGAACTTTTTGTTGCCGAGAGCAACACTTTTACTGTTTCTTGTTTTTAATTGTCCTTGAAGGTTATTGAGATTGTTGGATGTGTAGGTGGCAATGTGATTTTACCACTGGAATGGCTTGAAATTGTCTGTCTTGGAGATGGAGAATCTGGAAGGGTTTCAGCTCAAAATAGACCTAACATATCTATTCATAGAGGTATTCTTGCGTTCATGATGTCCTGTGCTACACCTCCCAAATTTAAAAGTATTTCACTAAATATTTTATTAAGGATGCAGTTGGCTTCTATTTTTCTAAATATTTGTAGAGATATATAAAATCTGTTGAAAGTATCTTATGTTTGCCTGGAATTCAAATATTTTCACTTAGGGGAAAAATAGGAAAATTGTATTGCAATTCATATAACTTGCAAGGTTATAATACTAATTATGGAGTGTTTGTAAGCAAATAGACATTTATTTCAGAGTTGTTTTTTAAAAAGTAGGGTTTTTTACCTTATCCGTATGAATAAATGAGCTTTGGAGAAGATGATTTTGAGTTTTTGTGACAAATTCATAAAGTTTATTGTGGCTCCTATTCTTGGTCAGTATTTCACTTCAGTACTAAATAAATTCTAACTCAAGCAGAACTGAATGAAGGTTATTATTTAGCACCTCAGGTTTAAAACGATTTTCTCTTTGAGACATGAACATTCTCTTGTTACTCATTCTCTTGAAGAAAGTTTTTATGGATTAGCGTTTGAATGAAGTAATTTGCTGACCTTTGAACACTGAGAGGAAGAGTTACTTCCTAATAAATTTGGGATTGGTTCCCCTTTGTGGTTATTGTGGATGCTTACAGATAGATAGGTTCCTAAAGCTCCTGAGTTAAAAGAAATGTATAGTAATTCAGTTCCCCTCCCCGTGTGTTTGTGTGTGTGTGTGTGTGTGTGTGTGTGTGTGAGAGAGAGAGAGAGAGAGAGAGAGAGAGAGAGAGAGAGAGAGAGAGAGAGAGAAGAAATAGTGTTGGGAAACCTCCAGAGAATTGCAAATAGGATCGGTAATTAAGTGCATTAGTACATTGCTTTGAAAGAAGCAGAAGAAATAGGTGTGAATAGCTTGCATGGCCATGAGGAGATACTTTTTTTTAATTTTAAGAATACTGGGAAGATTAAATAGAGTTAGTGTGAAATGATTTCTTTCCCATAGGAAAACAAACAAATACATCTAACTAAACATTCTTAGAACAGCTATCAGATGGAGTATGAAAAGCAGATACTTGTGGGAGCTCATCTTTCCAGTAAAGTTAAAATTGTTGCTGGAAGCAAACAATACATTTTGTTCTCATCACTCTCTATAGTCTGTATTTTCTGCTTTCCTCTCTCCCAAGGAAGATTCAATCTTTATCCTTTTGTGTACTGAGATTCATTCTTTCTTTCGATCTCTCTCTCTCTCTCTCTCTCTCTCTCTCTCTCTCTCTCTCCCTCCCTCCCTTCCTTCTTTCCTTCCTTTTTTCTTTCTTGATCAGATGTTTTTTTGCCATTGATAACTTTTCTTCTGTGTTTTAACTGTTTCCCAGTCCTTCATAATTTCCCATTATTGTGTGGTAGCAATTTCTACCTTTAATTCTATAGAGTTGACTTCTACGAGTTGGGTATCTTTTAATTATCCTGGTTATGAAACTAGAAGGTGCCTGAATGGGTAATGCTGCTCAGAGTGTATTCTTGATAAAATACAATTTCTGTAGTTTTCTCACTCAGTAAAATGGTCATAAGTTAGATTTGTCCCATAGCAACTCTACCAGAATTTCCCTTGCAAATTTGTCTCTCTACGTAGATATTCAGCATGCCGGAATGGCAGATGCCAAGAGAAAAACAGCATTCCCCCCCCTTTATTAAATGAGTAACTGGTGGATTATGAAACATATGCATGGATTCTTATGGCTGATTTCTTTGCACAATTTATTGAACTTTTTCCTGGAAGAGTTTTAAATCACATACAAAATACTTTTTGAAAAATTAATTCTCTACCCTATAAAGCAACATAAAACTCTTATAGCCATTTGATCTTCATTGAAAGTTTACCACTGCCGTGCAAAATCTGGCAATGAAAACCAAGCAGGCAATTTATATGGTGTCTCTGACTCAGCACTGTGATTGACAGCAGGCCTCCCAAGTCTGAGACATTTTTCTGGGCAGACTTTTACACTGGAGACCTCCTCCACTTGCAAAGTAGATATTACTCTTTGAGTCTCAGTCTCTTCAAAATCAATCCTGTAATTATTGTGAAATGGTTCAAAAGCACCCCTGGACTATTTTAGAAAGGAAAAAAAATACATGGAACAGATCCTTCCCAACCAATTTATGTTAACAGAGGTACAAAGTACATTTGTCTCTCAAACAGGTGAATATTCAAAGGTAGAGTGTCATCTGCATTATGATGTTCCTGCAAGTTTCATTGAATCAATATTGTCCAAGATGATCCATCAAGCCAAAATAACAGAGAAGTTGCTTCTTCCCATGTGATTTAACAGGCTGTTGTTGGGTAACTTTACTCTATATTTTCCCACAGACTATTATAGATGGTTTACCTTGAACAAAGAGTTCTCAATCAGGGCACCATGATGATGGGATCATGTTTGGCAGCAGCCTTATTGCCTATATCATTGGTTGTATTTTATTTTATTTTATTATTTTATTTTATTATTTTATTTTATTTTATTTTATTTTATTTTATTTTATTTTATTTTATTTTTATTTTTATTTTTATTTTTATTTTTATTTTTATTTTTATTTTTATTTTATTTTATTGCCTTTCCTCCAATGGTGTTTGGCAAGTTAAATTATTACATTTTTAGAGAGAGTCAGATAAATAACATTTATTGTTCTGTCTACAATAATACTGTTAGATTGTAAGGTTTTGATGCACAATAATGCTTTGCCTCCAGTACTTTTATTGCTCATTATTGGCTTCACTGCTGCCAACAGATTAGTGCAGTTTCAGATCTTTCATAACAAAATAATAGAATAACAGAGTTGGTTCTAGGAGGTATTCTAGTCCAACCTCCTGCTCAAGCAAGAGTCCCTATACCATTCCTGAAAATTGGCTGTTCAGTCTCTCCTTAAAAGCTTCCAATGTTGGAGCACCCACAATTTTTGAAGGCAAGCTGTTCCACTGATTAATTGTTCTCACTGTTAAGAAATTTCTCCTTAGTTCTAGGTTGCTTCTTTCCTTGATTAGTTTCCATCCATTGTTTCTTGTCTTGCTTTCTGATACTATGGAAATTTACAGAATTTCCCAAAAATTATAAAATTCACAGAAACCTCACAGAAGTTCAAAAGGGTGTTCCAAAAGAGTATATAAAGTTCCTTGAATTGAAGGCCCCATGTCCTTAGCTTGATTGCAGATATGTGCATTGTAAACATTAAACAAGGATAAAAAAAAATTAAACACTGCAAACTCTAATATCTTTTTTTTAATGGTTCCTTTGGTACTACTTTTCACTTGCTTACTCAATCACGTAATAACATATAAGCTGCAAACATACACAGAGATATACAGACACATAACACTGCAGACCCTAAAATGATAAACCCAAATTTTGCATAGGAGGAAGGAAGAAAATTAATTGAGTTGGTAAAAAAAAAAGTAGCAGTTGCTCTACTGGTACTTCTTTGTTCTCAAATTCAGGAATCCTTTAATTGGTATAGTACAATGCCTGTAGGCAAGTTTTGCTATAAAGCATTTCCTGTTCAGAAGAACATACAAAATCTATTAAGAGAGCAAGAGCACCACAAAACGGAACTTGAGCCTTGTTCAGAGTACACATTTACAATTTGTCCTTGCACTCCTCACGTAGAAGCTGTGTTTCAGAGTGAAAAATTTCTCCTATTATTGCAAAATAATGTTGTGAAGCCAAATCACAGAAACACTAGCATTGTGATTTTTGTGGGGAAACAGGTGTTGAATCCTTTTATGAAAAATACTTCCATTCTGTTGCCTT